GTATTTTTTTTCTTTTTTTTTTTGTAATATACATATATATTATTTTTAGTTTGTGACATATATTCGCTGCTTTTGGACCGATGACGATATGACCATTTTAATGCATTGTAATTTTCAATTAGGGGTTTTTGGAAATTCACTATCTAAAAAAACATGTGAATTATTGAGGATAAATCCTTGCGTTTGGATATCAGCTAGGTTTATTTATAGGTTTACCCGGTAAAGTTGTCAAAATTGTATGTCTGATCAATGTAGACATTAACATTTTTAGTTTCGAATTTTTGCGGAAAGTGCCTTTTATAACTTTTTAAATTTAAAATTCAGGCTACTTTTTCGCGATAATAAAAAAATTCCTATAAAAATACCCTTTATGGAATATTAAAAATAATTTATTCACAAATTTTGATTTACTACTGACATTTTATAGAGGGATTCAGGTTGACTGTTGGCCATAAACATATTTTTTTACTAATAGCTGGTCTTATTATATTGTTCTTTATTCACTAAAAAGGTTGGGAAAATATTACATGTATGCATTAAGAGCCCAGCCTAACAAAACAACATTTATTTGTATGACAAATTAAGTGAAATTACTTCTTTGTGACAAGTTTATACCATTATCAATTTTCTGGACAGTAATAACAATGGACCAAAGACTTTAGATACTACTTTTTGTTTCTTTCTTTTACTTTATGCATAAATGGAACTGAAACTATACTGAATCTGTTGTCAGTATAGTGCAACATCATGATAACAAAATTTTTTCTCATATATTGTATTTAATTTACAAGATATTTTTTAACTGGACTCATCTGTGTGGAGTCCGTTTTAATTTAAAATTTGTAATTTTATAATTAAATCACGTTTTAATTTTTTCTGCCTTGACTGCATTGCTATGTTCTCTGTATTTGCACAACGCACTTCGCACAATGTATTTGCTCTTTTATTCTCCTTCGTCCTTCATTCTCCTAATTTTTTGTATATTCGTACGCAATTACCATAAGATAAGAAATTTTGCACGAGTCTTGATGCATCAAGAACCACCATAACAGCAGCAACAAAAAATGCACAATATTGAAATACCAATAAATGCACAATTACGATAATGATTTTGTCTCACTTTTCCTCTAACCTCTCTTTCTTTTGGTTGTTTTTTCTGCAATTATTTCCCTTTTATATATATATATATTTTTTTTTGAGCACTGCATTGCACTGATAAATTTTTTGTTTCTGTTTCCGTTTCTTTTTTGTTCTTTTTTATTTTCTTTGTTATGTTTTTTTGTGTTTATTGTGAATTTCAATCGCTCACGCACTTTCCTAACTTCTGTTGATGTCTCGCACATGTTTCCTTCCTTATAACTGCACAATTGCATTTGAACGCGGCGCTAGGTGCGGCGCCCGCCACAGTTGTATGTTTGGTTTGGTACGAAATATTAATCCGAATACGCGTAAATCCTCATTATGGGGCATTGCTTTATGTGTCATGCGGTCGTCGTGGCCCGTGCCAAACATTAACATATACTTTGCGGTTGGCTAAAAACGACAAATCACCTGTGGTCAATTTATCAATACACATACGCATTCACTCGCTCTCACACGCACACACATGCATTCGTCCTTGGCCACAAACGTGTCTGTGTATGTGAAAAATCCACAACAGCTAAAACTCTGTTCTACTTTGCCGGTATAATTATTTATTTACTGTAATCACTTAATCCCGCCTGGAAATTGCCAACATCGGGTTTGGCCGAAAGTGAACTTGTTTATCTGTTTCCGGGTGTATTCATCATTGCAACACAAATCCTGTCCCGATTGTCCGAGCTTAAGAAGTGGGCCATTGGAATTTTGTTAACGATGGACAAGCGATGACAAATAGGTTAATTAAAGACCATGTTCGTGACACTGACAGAATTCAAACATTTTAATGAAACTGTTAGTTTCTTGTAAAATTATTTGACCACTAATTCATTAATTTTATTTAATATATTGAATATAATAGAAGAACAATTTTTTAATCTCGAAGAAATTGTTTTATTTATTTATTTTTTTTTTTTTTTTTGTTTTGCTCACTCATGTTGAAAAATCCAACTCGGTGGGACTATGATCGGTTGGGAAATGCTTCTCAGACTATCGAAATATGTAAAATGGAGCAAAAACCGTCATTTGGGGATTATGCCAAAACATATATTTATATTAAAAATTGTGCAAATATATATATATATATATATATATATTATTAATTTTCATCATAGGATGATACATATTACAGACAAATGGACGTGATTAAACCGTTTTTATTGGCTCTCTGAAGTTTCTCAACTTTTGATTTTAGGGCATTAATCAATGTGTGCACTGAGTGGCTACACTTATGTTTAAATCGTTACAGTTAAATATTTATGAAACTCTTACCCATATTTACGAATATATTTTAAATATACTGCTGATATCTTACATTTATAATGTACATACAAATTTTATTGTTTTTACTCTATGTTGATCTTTGGACTTTCTTTGTTATATTACTTTTTTTGATTGAGGTCATTGAAAATTAAAAAGTTTTGCTTTTGTTTTATTATTCTAATATTTCGATCATCGTCTATGATCATCATACTTGACTTAAAAAAAATCATTACATAAATATATTAAAAAAATTTTTGAGTAGTTAAAATTTCGGTCTTTTTTAACACTATTCGACTACCACACTCATTGAATTGACTTCCTCAATTCATACGATATTCTACAGGGACATATATAATGAACCACATTACCAACATATACACCTAAGTCTGTTTTTACACGGTCTTTTTGTACACGGTTTTGATATAACACGGTTTGAAAATTGAATATTTTTAATTTTTTTAGACGATTTTATTCCATTTAGGACAATTTGAAATTTTATGTACTTAAATTTTTTTGTCAAATTTAATTTTTGCGAAGTATGTTCATATCACAAAAAGGTATTTATGAAAGAAAAAAGTCTGAAACCATCGATCGTATCGATAGTTTGCGAACACTAGCTTAAAGATTTATGTGAATTCCGCTTTAGCGCGTACAAACAATTTTTACTGGTCAAAGCAAATGTGAATAGCACTAATTTAGGGGAATTTCCTATATGTATAAGATCAATGTCTTTTTTACAAGGTTTTTTTTTACACGGCTTCTTCTGGAACCAATCTACCGTGTAAAAACAGACTTAGGTGTATTTTGTTTTGTAGTTTTACTCGCGGTTAAAATGTCCACTTCTTTAAAATTGGGGGTATGTTTAGTATCAGAGCAGTGTACTGCTGCAGCTGTTTTCTGTTCCAGTGGTTTATATTCATTTGATAATAAGCGGCCACAGCTTATTCTCGTTTTTAGTTTCGTCTTTACTACCATGATCCGTACAAATGATAGCGTTTAGTGAGCAGAGTTCATATAATTTAATAATACAAATCTAATAATACACGGAAATGTCAGCAATGCTGGTGTTCAAATAATTACCTTGACAAAAAACAGAACTTCTGCTTAATAAGTGAAGGTTACATATACTGTAAAAACTGGTAATATTGTTGAAGTCACATATAGAAGCTGCCTATTAGTACATGCCGTCATTAGGAGCACATACCCTATATTGCCATTTAATAGCTTAACGTCATATGTGTGTTAAAATAATGCTTCTAATTTTCAATGATGATAGTATTGTTCCAATTTCAACCTTCTAGAGAATATTGAAAACAAACATATGCGACCCATGTTTTGGAATAGCCCTCGCAGCCCACCAAAGCATATTTGAGAAAAACAAAGTGTTCGACTTCTGTAGTCAAACTCATATTTAATGTTTGTTTTGACTAATTAATAAAACATATATCAAATCGGCCTTCGAAGATATGGCAAGCATTTCGGAATATATGGGGGTGGTTCACATTAGATGCATAGTCCACATTATACGAAGTTCCTCTATTCCATTTTTCTTGTCCAACATGAGAGACATGTTGTTTCAGCAAGACGGTGCCCAACATAGTAGACTAAAATTTTTGTTTCACGTTTGGGATCGCTCAAACTGCTGCCTAGTTCGTGCGATTCAATACATTTAGACAAGGCAAACAGAGGCTTTGAAAGACAACATTGAAGAATTTGTTCGTGAAATATCGCCTGAAATGAAATAAAGCTGTATTTTCATAACTATATTGGCAGTAAGCTTGAGATCTCAAGTGGTCTTGCTGAAAGACCCCAGTTGTTAAGATTTTCATTATTATTAGAATAGTTTATAACAAAATCAATATCTTTCTGTAAAATTACACCACAAAGGCTGGAAACAAAAGTTGTAAAATTTCAATGTAAAGGATGTTTGGTTCTTTACTTTTTTTGCTGTTGTAGTTGTATTTTCGTTTTTTATATTTTTTAGTCTTATTAAATGCAGTAATAAATGAAAATAAAAAATGAAACGTATATGTCAATGATGTATACTTAATTTTTTGTTTGGTGATCCCAATATTTATTAACGTCCAAAGTCAAAAATTTGGATGTCCCAGAATTTAGTCAATCGCAAAGTGTTTAAATGACGAACGCCTGTCACATAAAATCACTGACATTTTCGACGCTCCTCACCACATTGGCGTTGGTGGATACAAGGTTTAATTTTAAATTTGCCCTTTCAACAATCTCCACTATTAAACCAAACGTATTTTTGGTGACTTCTTTTGTAAAGGATCTCACTCTTCAGTTTGGTAATTGCTAAGAGTAAGTTTACATTCGCGACCTATATAAAGAAAGTCGGCTTTACAATATTAATATGGCATACATTGTATAACATATATATATATAAAGATATGTCAAATTAATGTTGATGGAACAATTTTCGTATTAATAGACTCCAATGTAAACATAGTTCAACATACATACATATAAACATTTACATTTGTTTGATTTGCGTTACGTTACGTTACAACTCCAACTATCTCTCTATTGTTCACGTATTTAATCGAGAAGAGAAAAATCAATGAGACAACCAACACCCACAGTATCAATGTAAAATTTTAGTTCCGCCCAAGATTACACCATTTTCATTCGCCCGCGATCTGAATGTCGGCGATCGTACTAGCATTCAATGTGTCATTGGCACCGGTGACCTACCGCTCACATTCACCTGGCTAAAGGATGGAAAACCACTACAACCGGCGGAAACTGCAGGCATGCAGTTTACGCACAATGCACGAGACAGCGGCAGTGTCAGCGGTGGGATTAGTGGTACCGGTGACGTTGCTGCGCCGGGCTCTGGCTCACATCCGACATCGATCAACTATGCCCACGGCCACGGCTCGAAAACCTACTCGAATGACGATGGTAGTAGCGGTGGTGAAGGAGACGGCGGCCTAGTGACAATTCGCCAAAATGATGATTTCACCAGCGCCCTCAGCATAACAAGTGTGACGAGGGCTCAGAGCGGCACCTACACCTGTCGCGTCCAAAATGATGCCGCAACTGTATCGCACTCTGCACAGCTAAGAGTTAATGGTATATGACAAATGCACGTCTGAGTTTGCATGCCCGATATTTTGCAATGGGACTTCTTTTGAGCATGTTTACCTCGTTAGTTACTAAGTAATGCATGAGAAATATATGTATTGTGAATATAACGAAGCACTTCATTTTCAGTTCCCTTCAATTATATCCCAATCCGATTTATGTTGAAAATATTTTGTAATTTTTCCGTTAAAATTTTTCCCTAACCTACTTTTCGCCTATTGAACATTAACTGTAAATTCGATTCCTTCCGATTTCGTTAATTTTCCACATGACATCTATCTCTTGAAATTTTCCTAGTTCCGCCTCGTATATCGCCCTTTAGCTTTGAAGATGAAATAACGGAAGGAATGCGTACGCAACTAATGTGTTCCAGCAGCCAAGGCGATCAACCATTTAACATTACATGGCTGAAGGATGGTGCTCCCATACAGAGTGGTGGCAATGGCAATTCTGCCGGTAATCACCAAGATGTCCATAGCAATGGCATGGGAGGAAATGGAAACAAGGCTCCCGATCCTTCCTTGACTATTAATGAATACGCTCCATTTTCAAGCATTCTATCAATACATAATGTTACCTCACGCCACAATGGCAACTACACCTGTCGAGTGACAAATCGTGCTGGATCTGTTGAATACACAGCTATGCTGTCCGTGTCCGGTAAATTGGAATAACAGTTTATTTAAATGTGGCACCGTAACTTCATTGCAACGGCACGCAGAATAAATCTGCAATTTCACAATTCACCTGTAAATAAAATTGTTGGATCATTTTTATTCTAAACTCCAAAATTGTCGTTTGTTGAGGAAATATTTTACACATAACAGCAGATGAAAATTTTCGCAATCATAGCATCACCAAATACCGAATAGAAACACATTTTTTTAACGAACTTTCTTTATAGCGAACACATTTCCTGGTCCCGAAGTAAGTGAACTTTTTTTGTAACGAACTATTCATTCGGTCCCAACTTTCGCTTTTCATATATTTTGATTTGGATATAACGAACTTTCTACAAATATATAGTTAATTTCTACGCTGAAATGGCATTTACATTAGAGCTCGTTACCGGGTTAACCTACTTTAAGAGAATTTATTTGACACATATGCAATAGAATTGGCAATTTAAAACCACTGGCTTAACGAAATCCAGTACAATGAAAACGCTGATAACCTTTACGAATCATTCAGCTGTAATGTCAGGTTCCTAAAAAAATAAAGGAAGCCTCTAAAGTATTGACAAAAAGGACACAAAACATACAAGTTTCTAAACGAATATAAATAAGCCTAAGTTTTGCCTATCCTTGCAATAACGAACTTCTTTTATAGCAAACTAAATTGCTTGGTCCCTACTAGTTCACTATTACCGCAATTCACCGTTCCTAACAAATAAAGTCTATATTTTTGAGTCAAAAAGATTATATGAAATCTTAGTAAAACAAATTTATACGTTTTCCGTTAAAAGAAAGTATGACAAAAAAAAAACAAGTGAAAAAGCGTTAAGTTCGGCCGGGCCGAACTTTGGATAGCCTCCACCATAGATATACGGCAGGTACTACAAATTAAAATATAGGGAACATGCCAAAAAGTGGACCTATACCGACATTTCTAAAAACGGATTATGTAAACCATAATGTAAACAACAATACAAATTTCAGAAAATTTCAATGGATAATTATACCTCCAGCCTTACAGCTAATGACGGTGTATACACTTTAACATAATGAAAATGTGTCTCATCGAAATATTGGTTCTAGACCCCATGTTTCTTTGGACCAAATCCGTTTCAGTAAAGTTGGATTTCATTCAAACCTCGCACATCTTATTATTTCTTCCAAACTTAGTTCAAATTCGAAGATGGGGAATATCGGTCCACTTCTTCTGGTACCTCCACACAGGGGCTAGGTCTAAATGCGGCTATAGTTCATTATCGAACCTTACGTTCTAATTTTTTATCTCGCTATCCTCCGCAGGTGAAATGATTACAACAGAGTCTTAGAACCAAAATTAAAACGCGTAACAAATCAGATAACTATTTTAATATAAAAAAGGGGGTTATATGGGGACTACCCCAAAAAGGGGCGAATATTAATAATTGTTGGTAGGGAGATTTGTTACCATATACGACTACAAAATACCAAATTGCAGCAAATTCGGTTGATAAACGCGTTCAAGAACCCCAAAATACCGAAAATTGGGGGTATCCTTATATGGGGGCTATCCGAAAAAATGGATCTATATTCATAATTTTTGTGGGGAGATTTGGTACCTATTAAGAACCCAAAATACTAAATTACAGCTAATTCGGCGGAAAAATACGATCAAAACCCCCAAAATACTGAAAATTAGGATGTACCGTTATATGGGGACTACCAGAAAAAGTGGACCTATATCCATAATTTTTTGTGGAGAAATTTATTACCCAATAGGAACCCAATAAAGCAAATTTCAGCGAATTCCGTTGAAAAACGCGGTCAAGAACCCCAAAATACCGAAAATTGAGGGGGACCGTTATATGGGGGGTACCGTTATAAGGGGGGTACCAGAAAAAATTGACCTATATTTATAATTTTTAGTAGGTTTATTTGGTACCCAATAAGAACTCAAAGTACCAAATTTCAGCGAATTCTGTTGAAAAACACGCTCAAGAACCTCAAAATACCGAAATTTTGGGGTTACCCCTACATGGGGGCTGTCCGAAAAAATGAACCTATATTTATAATTTTTAGTGGGGATATTTGCTACCCAATAAGAACTCAAAGTACCAAATTTCAGCGAATTCGGTTGAAAAACACGCTCAAGAACCTCAAAATACCGAAAATTGGGGGGTATCTTTATATGGGAGCTATGCCTAAACGTGGACCGATATATCCCATCTTCGAACTTGACCTGCCTGCAGACAAAAGACGACTCTATGCGAAATTTTGGGGCTCTATCTAAATTCGTTTAGACGCTAGCGTGATTACAACAGACAGAGGGACAGACGGACATCCATAAATCGTCTTAGAATTTTACGCTGATCAAGAATATATATACTTTATAGGGTCGGAAATGAGTATTTCGATGCGTTACAAACGGAAAAACAAAACTAATATACCCTCCATACTATGGTGGAGGGTATAAAAATGCAAACACAATTTCATCGTGGGTCTTTTTAAATGATTCAATGGACTAGCCCTAATTTGAATCAATATAACCGAAGAGTTCATTCATTCCTAATATAATATTTGAAATCGTTTTTGAATTAAAAAGTCAAATCCTAATGTGAAAAATGTGTAAAGTTCAGCCGGTGAAAAGTTTCATCACCAAGTTTTAATTATATTTTAAATACGCTTAATAAATACATATGGGAATTTCCGTCAAAAGGTAAACCGAAGTCGAAGAATTTTTTTAATTGTACTTTAATATTCATTATTAGCAATGATCTCTAAAGCCAAGTATATTTGAAGTCGCGTGAATGACCGTTCTTTTGTATATTTTATCTCAAAAGATAAAAACCTGCTGTTTTCAATTTTCTTTTAACACTGATAGGACTACAAAATATATTAAGGATGAATTGCAAAAAATTTAACTCTGTTTGATCTATTTAAAATTTTACGTTTTATTACTTCCAAAGGTCGTGCAAGTTACCAAGGAAGTGGCCGTATACATAACATAACCTTTTGAGCCCCGATTTTTTCCGCGATATAGGATATAAACCAAATTTGACCTCGCTTTATCCTTGCATTTCGGAGATACAGTACATTATTTATGAGAAATGAATATCCAATGCAAAGAAAATCAAATGGAATATCGACGAAAAAATCTTTAGAATTACCCTTTATGTTTTATTTTTACAATAATGAAAAATAATTTCGATGGTACAATTCCTATAATTCGAATACGAAGCGATTTAATTAATTTGGACTGTATACACAATTTAGTACTGTAAACATTTCTGGCATTTTCTTTATATTGTAAAGCACATAACTTGGCCAAAAATAATCATAACCATAATCATGTCTTGACACATGCAATCCAAATCTATCTACTCTAAAACATTTTGTTGCCCGTGGGCAACATTGGGCCACAAAGGGTTAAGAACAAATTCATTTTTATTATTAAAAATAAATCAGCTTATATTTCAGTTTTATCAACACTTCAAAAATTGAAATCGAGCTTCCTGGTATTTTTCGACTTTGCCATCTTGAAGGCTAATGATATTGTGTTCCCACGAGTTAAAACCTCTGTATAACGACCCTAATTCCAGTAAATATTAAAGTTGAAAGACGGTGTAGTTTAGTTTGCTCGGGATAGTTACTTTACAACTGTACCGAACCTCGATAACGACAGTTTCAAAAAAACCCTATTTGGTGACGAGTTTTGGAGTCTAGAACAAAATGTTTAATAAACCAGGAAATATTTAAAGCAGCGATGTTGCACATCAAGGCGAGAACACACAGCCACCACAACGCACGCAGCACGGATCGCAGCACCATCACAGAGCACCTCGTATTGAATCACTGAGAAATGCAACCCATAGATGAGCACTTTGTAAAACCGCATCTGTATCTACATATCTATCTATACCCAATGCCTATCGTTGTTACACTGTACCTTTCTGTGTTTCTTTGACTTCACCTTCTATTCGCCTTCAGTTTTCTTCCTTTTCAGTTTGGCTTCATTTTGTTTTCGGATATTTCTTTAATTTCAATTGTCTACTTTTGTATTATTGTCACAGTCATGTATTTAATGTGAAACATTTAAATGTTACGATTTGATTGGTAGTCGTAGTTTGCATGATGAGCACCGTTTTCGCTGCTATGATACAATGCACCCTTTCTTAAAATAATATTTAATAACGACTTTGCAACAGTGCCACCGCGTTGGATCATCAAACCTACGGATCAGGATGCCATACTCGGCAATCCGATTATTTTAAAATGTCAAGCCGATGGGTTTCCGGTTCCGACACTGCAGTGGAAACAATCAATTGGTAAGGACGAAATCATGCATGCCTCAGTTTCATAATCAGAAGTCTATCGCAATACATAGGTGAATCGGGAGAATACCGGGAACTGAGTTACAATATGGGTAATGGTAATTCCAAATCGTTGATAGAAACACACAGCAACGGTTCGTTGATCATTCCGAAAGTAGGCCGAGAACATGAGGGTAGCTACTTGTGTCAAGCTAATAATGGAATTGGCGCGGGTTTGAGCCAACTCATCAAGGTGACCGTTCATGGTAAATCCTCTATCGTATAAACCGTGCGCATTTTTTAATTGTGTGTCTTTATTGTTTTTGTCTACACCTTAGTTGGACCAACTGTGACAGTATCGAAAAAACAGGTGACCGTACGAAGAGGCGATCGTGTAACATTAAGATGCGAAGCTGATGGCGATCAACCATTGGATGTGTCTTGGCGAGCCAAGGCCAACCGAATAGATCCATCATTCGATGTTCGCTACCACGTAAAGGATTCGCCTCTGAGCAGAGGTGTTGTATCAGAGCTTACGATTCTTCAGACGATACTGAGTGATCGCGGCGAATATACATGTATTGCAAGCAATGCGTATGGACATGATCGAGCTGTAATCCACTTACAGGTCCAAGAGCCACCCAACTTTCCCGTCAATCTACATGTCACTGACTTAGGAAGTCGTTCGGTGACATTGGCTTGGTCACCGAACGATCAGGATTCAGTATTGTTGGGTGGAAATAACCGGGATTCCCAACCAATTTCGAATTACATATTACAATATAAGAAAGCTGGAGGTTTGTATCGTATTTGTAGGAATGTTTCTTACCCTCAGTAATTTGGTTCATTTTTCTTCCACAGATGTATGGCATGATGGCAACAATCAAAAGTTACTACCTGGCGATAAGACTACCGCTCAAATAGGATCACTGCGACCGGCTCAAGCATATCATTTCCGGTTATATGCCGAAAACCATTTGGGCACAAGTGCCCCGAGTGATATTCTGCTCCTACAAACTGATGCCGAAGCGCCTAGCGGCAGGCCCCAGGACGTTTCAGCAGAGCCGTTAGGGCCACAACAATTGCTAATCACGTGGCGCCCTCCCGAACGAGACACGTGGAATGGAGAACTTTTGGGATATACTATCGCCTATCAGAAACATGGATCTACTGATAGTTTTCAGAATTTCACAAAAGTGAGCAGTCTTGGCGGCGAAGGATTGAACGACTTCCGTTTGACTGGTTTGGAAAAATACACGCAGTATGCTGTCACTGTATCTGCGTTCAATGTCAAAGGTGACGGCCCTCCCAGTGAAGTGGCTCTGGGTCATACTCTGGAAGATGCACCATCAGCCCCTCCTCAATCAGTAACTTGCATTGCATTGACAGCTCAAAATATACAAATCTCGTGGCAACCACCACCAAAGGAAAATCATCATGGTGTTATTCAAGGCTACAAGGTCCTATACGAACCTGGAAATTTCGACTCAGAGTATGGTAGCAGAGAAACCAAGATTACATCGGCTCTGAGCACTGTCTTGCATGGTCTACAACCTTTTACAAACTATAGTGTTCAGGTTCTGGCATTTACCCGTGCTGGGGAAGGCGTGGTCAGTGCAACAGTGTCATGTATAACGGAAGAGGCCGTACCAGATGCTCCGGAAAGAGTAAAATCAGTGGTCAACTCGGAGTCGTCTGTCATTATAAGCTGGCTACCACCGAGGAGGCCTAATGGCGTAGTCACGAAGTACACCGTCTATATTCGCATCCTCGACAAAGGGCAGGAACTAAAAATTTTAAAAGAAGTCCTACCGTCACAGAACCGACATTTTGAGGCCAAAGACCTTTCGACAAGAGAAACCTATGAGGCTTGGGTGACGGCTTCGACCCGCGTTGGCCAGGGTCCTAGTACACCGGTCATCAAACTTGTGCCCAGTGCCACTGTACCGGCAGCCATTATCTCATTTAGTCAAACTCTTAGTGTCAGTTGGAGGGTTGATATGAAATTGCCATGTTTATTTGTAGGATCGCCGAAGCCAAATGCCGAGTGGAAGGTGCTGAATGCTCGAGCAAAAAAACATTTCCGCTTAGAAGTCAGCAACGATAATACTCTTACATTGCGAAGTATTCAAAGGTCACATGAAGGCAATTATTCCTGTGTAGTGAGAAATTCCATAGGTTCCGACCACATCGTATATCAACTATTTGTCCAAGGTGAGTATTCCCATATGAGTACAAAAGTCGGCTGGTTGATGTGGCCTAGATGAGATATTTAATATGTGTAATATACAAAAACAAAACTCTATATATAACTTTTCACAGACTAAGTAGGGGAGCGCCTTTGAACGTGGGGCACCTTGAACAGAACTCATAAAATATAGGTTTAGATATCTTTTTCAGTTGTCGACAAAATGTAGGCGAGTGAACTTTTTTCGCTGTTTCCTAAGTGTAATTTTCTGTTTCCTCAATGGTCTTTTTCTTTCGTTAAACAATTTTTCCATTCCCAACATAACTAATGTATTTTCCTTCAAATATGTCACCCACAAAAAATTATTTCAAATTTCCGTAAAATGACATACATATGTGGGGCAAACATTTAATTTGATGAACAACGGGGGTATCCTTACATGAGAGCTATTGCAGAACTTGACATGCCCAAAATAAGAGGCAGACACAAAGAAGCGAGTGGGTGTTTATACTTTGAGCACTTTTTACGCCATACAAATAAAAGTAGAAAATGTATATTAAAAAAATTGTTTTTGTTTTATTAAGTATTATGTACATAACAAAAAAGCCTTAAATTAGAAAACAAAATCATCAATTTCTAAGAAAAAAATTATGAAATCAAAATCAACTCAACAATGCACTCACTTTTGTACCCTTGAAAAAAAAATAAAACATAAATAAAACACTGTTTAAATTTTGTGATCGTTGAAAAAATGTTTCCCGTTTATACAGTTTATTTCCGATAATACAGGTTCTTGTCGAAAAGGGGTCTTCACGCCGTCAAGGGGGACACCGACAAAGGTGTTTAACAATTACTAATGAATATTTAAAAAATTAACTACCTCATCATTAGAAGTGGATCCATATCCATATTACTTAGAAACGTTTTACGAGCTCTTATTTGAGATATTGGGACTACGGGAAGTTTTTGTACCCTTAACAATTAATTGGCACACTTTAAGTCATTTTCCAATTTCCAGGGTACAAAAAGTGATTTATATAATGTAGAAATGATTTAAAAAATTTACTTTTGTATTTATTTTTTTCGTACGAGTTATTTCCCTGTTTTTGTGCTTTCTTGGTATTTATTGGTTATTTATATTTTTAAAAATTAATATTTTTTAGATACTTAATGAATGAAAAAAATTACATTTTTGAATTTGTTTTTTTTACTATTATTTTTATGACGTAAAAGTGTTCAATGTATAAACATCCATGCGAATTGATAAAATGGGGAAAATATATCCTTTAATAATGTACCTATTTTTTAGGCGAGGGGCTTGCTCTACTCCTCGCCGTGGATGATGGTTGGGGTGCGGGATGATCAGTAAATTAACTCAAGGGAGCGGGGTTAAGCGACCGACGACGAAAGAACTAGCAAGCAGTTAATGGTGTAAGGAATAGAAAGAAATGCAAGAAAATAAAAACAAGAAAATAATTGATGGAAGTATATTGGCTTTATTGGCGATTCTTTCTTTTCTATCAACAACAAAATTATCTTTGTAATTTGGGGTGGAGGCAGAGGTAGATAACGCGTAAATGATATTCGACTAGTTGCTTCTATGGAGATTGCAGTTTAGCGCATTCGTACAGGATCGCGGAGATCGCTGAGGATCGGTTGTCGTTCGCTAATACATTTACATATTCCAATGGGAGATAGGGCCAAGGAAGGAAAGCAAAACAACAACAACCACCGCTCGGTGGCATCTGCACTATACGGTCTCCGCTGAGGATACTTGCCGAGGAGATGCCAGTTGTGTCAATCGGGAAATTGAGTCAGAACGTATCCAACCTATACACCAACAACTACGTCATTGAATTTATTTATTGTACTATACAGGCCATAACTAATATGACTATACAGCCTACGCTCGGCATAACGAATACTCAGTTAAACCAATTCGGGATAAAACTAATGGGAAAATAGTCGACTTTTCACACTGACTACCGTACAAACCGAATGTTTTCCAAATTTATGTACTGTATACAACGAGCGGTGAAAAAATAATGGGGTTGTTTTATAAAAAATATGTAAAGGTTTAATTATTATTAAACCTTCATAACGAATAATACTGTATATTGTATCTCTCATAGAAAGTATTACCCACGCGAATTAACCTACGTTTTTTGTGGACTTCATAAATTTGATAGTCCATAAAAACTGATTTAAACATTTAAAATAGTTTTTTTATATTTTCTATTATTATGACGTGTTTAAAATATTTATTTCCAGTTCCACCATCGGCACCTGTTATATCCGTCATTGGCACCACAACCAATTCGGTCTCCCTGCAATGGAAAGTGGACGACATTGGGGGTGCGCCATTAAGGGGTTTCACCTTAACATATCGCAAAGAGTTTGGAGACTGGGAAGAAATCCAACTCGACCGGCGGGTAAACTCGCACCTCTTGGAGGGATTACAGTGTGGAACGCGATATCAATTCACATTGGTTACATTCAATAAAATTGGTACAAGTGCCACCAGCTCCATTGAAGTTGGCAAAACGAAAGGTAGATTGACCGAAAACAATTGCAAAATAGACCCTATTGTAATGTTCACTCTGTCTTTATAGGAAACAAACCTGTCGCTCCGACTAAACACAGCCTAATTAGACCCAATATTACTTCGGCGCTAATTGAACTTTCGTCGTGGCAGGATGGCGGCTGTCCAATTCAGTATTTCAGTATTGAATTTAAACGCTATGGTATCTCCAGCGACTGGATTATCGTATCCAGCCGCATCGAGACCCACGTAAGTCACTGTAATTTCCATGTAACATCTACTAGACCGTAGAGTGTAGTTGAGATCATGTACGTAAATTAACCATTAGTATCCGTATTCATATTCACTAACCAAGCGGCATCATATCCCTTTTTGGCATTCATACGTAGACATGGTTGTAAAGGCATTTAAAGAAACGTTTATTCACATCAAAGCGCTCTTTCCAAAAATAGTGTGTCTGTGCGTGTGTGTGAGAGAGAGAGAGAGAGAGAGAGATCGTTTCTTTAAATGCGGGTTTGAGTAATATTCTTGGGCAATTATTTTTTCATGACTATATTTTCAATTTTATTAGACACGCTACACCATTGGCGATTTGGAGTCGGGGACCATTTACAATTTGCGTGTAACGGCCCACAATAATGCTGGATCAACCATTAAGGAGTATACATTTGAAACATTGCGTTTTAGTGGCATGCCTCGTGATTTGGATCAGAGTGACTTGCCCCAGGTGAATTCCTTATTTAGGGATGCCCATTTAATAGCGGTGATTATTACATCTATTTTCGGCACAATATTGGCTCTGATCGGCGCTTGTATATGTTTCAAGAATTGTAAGTCTGAGGTTTTCCACTTAAAGAATTGTTGCACCTAGGGTTTCTTTTACAGATCCGCGGCACATATTTTCTCGCAATGTGGATACGATGAGGCCTCCTGGCAACGAGGGAAAGGATCTACAACACCGTGAGCAATATTATGGTACGATGCGCAAATCGTGTCAGCAATCACCGGGAGATTCGGTTGTTGCACTTGAGCGCATACCTGAATACTCTGAAGATATATATCCTTATGCTACATTCCATTTACCAGAACACGAGAACCAGTCGGCCAATATTCCGCTTAACCGCAAGGGCATTCAGCCGGCCATGTACGATCCACGCAGTGGTGACGACAACACGCTCTCCAGCACGGGCATGAAGGTCAAGCGTTCGGTATCGGGCAGTGGTAATATTTCCATTGGAGGTGGTGAGTGCAGCCATACAAACACCGAGAAGCGTCACAAGCGACGGTCCAAGACCATCAAGTCGGAGTCAGAGGAATACGATAGTCTAAACAGCGACAGTGATTTGAGTGGCGAACGTATACGCGACGATAACCGTAGTACTCGAACGGATGCTTCCAGTCAGATGGACAACTCCGCATACAACAGTGAGTACTAGTATCGATATAAATACGCATTTACGTCCATAGTCTGATTTTTGTTTGGTTTCTCCCAAAGTTCACGGGCATAGTCCACGCGGTAGCGGTAGCAGCAACAAAGAACGCCTGTCGGTATTCAGCAGGCCTCAACTTCATAGTAAGTTAGTACCTATTTTATATACAATCAAAAAATAAAAGTCGAAAATCTTCATAATACACCTAACCCATCCATTGAATTTGTAATCAACATACCTGAAAACACCCATAAGTAGACCATTGTCATCATCACTAACACCACCCTGCAGTAGCTGTTTGAATTTTTTCGATATCTCGTCATTCACCCTAGCCGACTTGCTGTCGGGCGAAGTCATGCCTGGCTGACTTCGGATGATAAACGAGATTTCGGGTTATTTATTGCCATCACATACTAACCTAACCCCTGTCTACAAATTTGCATATTTACACTAATTTAGAAAACATTTTACCGATACGCAAGAAAGATTCTTCGAACGAGAGCTCACACACTTCTAATGGGCCGGCAGAATCGATAAACACGGAAGTGCTTACAAAATCGTCCAGACGAACCTCCTTTAAATCTCCCCGTTCCCTTTTTCAAATCATAAAACCTACCAAAATTCTAGCCAATGTCCAGTCTACAAACACTTCACCCCATCCTCCCCCCGCATGCTCCGTCACTTTAAATCCACAACCCGCCAGTGCTACAAAGCCAAAGATGCGGCCCCAACCTAAACCTCCGCACCAGTTTGTCCATTTAATACAACGCCCCACTTCTGAGACCACAATTAGCGCACAGCATCAGCAGCCTACACGCCCTCCGTCACCTTCACCCTCTTATCGTTTTGCATCATCCTCCAAGCATGACAGTACGGCTGCCCCAGTCATTACTAACCAGCCCCAACCACAACAACATCAGCCACCGCCACCCGTCAGCAACGCCCGCAGTAGCCCCAATGCTCTGATCATTTTGAAATACTCGGGCAGCGGTAGTGGTAGCAGTGACAGTGTTGGATATCAGAAGAGCTCACATTCAAATAGGCAAGATAAAATTGAAATTCGTTGATCGTTGATTTTATTTTTACGCACATATTCCGCGACTTGATATTCAAAGTCTACATAGATACAGTATGTATGTGTGTGTATGTGTAGTGGTAATAGTTGATATGTAACGGGAAATGACAGATGCCGTATTGTAAGAAAATATATAATTTTAGTTTGATTTGTATTGATGGCCAATGATAAATTACCAATTTAAGTTCTGTAAGGATCCCCAAGCAACTATATATTTTTACTTCAATATATATAACGAACTGTTTTAATAGCAAGCACATTTCTTGGTCCTGAAGTTTTGAGACATATTTTTTTCATACAAATGTATTTTCTTTTAATTTAGTTTACTTGGTAGTGACGAACTTGCTACAAGCATACATACTACTTAACGATGGCAGTCCTCACAAATATTATTTTTTACGCTAACGCTGGCAGTCTTTACAAAAAAATTAAGTTTATTAACGAAAAGAAAAGTGGTTTAAGTATTGTCCAAAAAAGGAACACAAAAACTACCGGTTTCTAAGTGAATATATTTTTTCTCCTAAGCCTATGTTTTGCATTACTTTGCATATAACGAACTAATTTGCTTGGTCCCTACTAGTTCACTATAACCGTACTTCCTTGTATATTAATTTTTAATTATTGTATATATAACATATATAACACTGTGCAACACAAAAATCTTGAACCAGTCGGGACCGTCAAAATCTAAAAGCTAGCTGGCGTTTGAATAATTTTCTAAGGGTTTTTAAACCCAGTTTGAATTTTGTCGATTTTGGTTGGATTTTCAAATAATAATTAAGCTAAAATTACCTAAAATCCAAAAACAAAAACATCACACTCAAAATGCCAGATATGTAAAAAAAAAACATAAATGTTCGAAGCTTTTTTCACGATTTTCCGTAATTGGTTTAGAACTTGCTATTAATTCGACCAACAATATTTGGCAGGAAGATAGTCGAAGAAGAAACAATCAATTTTTTTCTTAAAACCCCGTTCGGATTGGATGCGTTTTTCATATGATTATAGTCTCACAAAGTCAAAGTCTCAAAAATGAACCAACTCTATGTTCATAGAAAATGGTATGTTATGGTATGGTATTTAGAAAGCATACAATGCAAGGTTTTTGAGAAATCTTAATTCGAATATTTTCAAATGCCTTGGAAATGGGAAATATTGCATCGCCTTTTTAGGTTACATCCCGACGTAAACTTTCAAAATATCGATACACCTGTCTTCTAATTTTAGCCCCTCTATCATAATTTTATGGAATTTCCGGATAATTTCAAAATAAATTGAAATTTATTGCGTAGTGCTATTAAAAGCATGCATTTTGAAGACAAATATTTTTCAACAGTACCATAAAGTATTCGAAATATGTATTTTTTGCCAGAACCATACGTTGGACAACAACGTTGGTGATCAATTTATGAGAATCCCTCAGTTGAAAATTGGGAATTGGTACTTTTGTTGTATACCTATTTTTACGATTGTGCGGCATTTTAAGTTTAGTTTTGCAACTGACAATTTTCAATTCAGTAATCTTTGACAACGCATAGGGTATAGGGTAAATACATCAGTATTCTGCATGACATGTTCATATAGTCAGGATCTCAATTAGCAAAACATGACTTATATATTAAATAAATTTGTTAATTATATACTTTAATAAAGTATTATCAATAAATGGCAATTGTTAAAACCATGCCTTCTATTACGTAAAACCACCAAAAATTAATTGCTGTGAACAATACATATGACACAGATAAAAACAATTTTATGATACGTTATTTACAGAATTTTGATCAGTTAAATGGAGAATCTGCAACTACCTTAAAAAATTGGATTTTTCCGAACACTATACCTGGTTAAACTCAAATGGGGTTTTCTGAATGTGATCTAAATCTGAACCGATTTCTTGCGCCAAATTAGTAACTTATCCTAAATTTCATCCAAATCGGATCATAAATGCGACCTGTACTTTGTTCACAAGACGGACGCACGGATGCACAGACGGGCATGCACAAATCAACTCAGAAAGTGATTCTATGCATATTCTGAGAAGGAACCATGTGTCTATCTCGTTTCCTTTTGCATGTTACAAACATATGCACAAAGAATTAATACTCTGTACCACAGTGTGGTATAAAAATACGTTACTATATACAGTCGAATTCGGATAAGCGAACGCCGGTTTATCGAAAAAATCGGTTAAGATTTTCAAATGCTTGTTAAGGTTTGTAACTTTGCACATATATAATTGAAGATTTAAAAGAGAAAAATATAATTTACAAAAAAAAATTTGTTATTGTTTTGTTGTTGTTTTTTGTAATTAAAGAAAAGTCCTTATTTTTGATGGCGGGCATGATAACTCCTCACTGGAGCATCGGAATCCGAAAATTCCAACGGTGTTAGAAAGAGTACATGTCTGGCTCTCGTATGAACTAGGATTATAGACTTCGCTCTAAAATTAACAAAATGGTGGACCTTTGAAAAAATATTTTTGGAAAATCGCTGATTTTTTACCAAAAACCAAGTTAAAAAATAAGGAAGATCTTCACCGATTGGCTTTATCCTAGTTCATACGAGAGCTATATACTCCCAGAGAAACGTTGCAAAATTTGGAACCGATTGGATTATTAGTTTTTGAGTTATCGTGCCCGCCATTCGCAAAAAAATGTTTAGAGAAAAACTCGTTTAAAGTTTGAGAAGCCCTTCAGCCGTCACTTGATGCTAACACAATAAATCGGCTATATCTTCAAGAGTTCTTGAGATTTTCACTTGAAATTTTGTAGAGACATTCTTTAATCAGTGTAGATTCGAATTATATCAACAAAAAAGTTGACCCCGAGAATCGGGGGGGGGGGGGGGGGTTCCCCTTAATTGAAACCAAAAATTTTAAACTAATATTTCGGATGAATTTTCAAACACTTTACTTCGCCTAAATGAAAACCGGGCAATTGAAAATCCGTATAAGAGAAAAAATTTTTGTTGGAAAAACACAAATACATATGGAACGAGCACCGTTTAAGAGAAAAAAATATAATTTTTGTAACCGCGACGAAATTTTTTAAATTTTTGTATGTGCAATCTCTAAAATGAATCTGCACATTTTCCAACTATGCAAAAACAAAATGTCAACAGATGTCAAAATGCAAACTTCGTTTAAGCGCAATGAGTTTCGCTTATCCGAAGTCCCCTTAATTGAGAATTCTGCATAAGAGAAAAAAATGACTGAAATTATGCGTTTTCGCTTAACCGAATTCGACTGCATACAGCAAATTATGAAATTTCGTAAAATATAGAGAGAGGTATTTGGCTTATATTATAAATAAACATCGTTAGGATTATTTGATTTTTTTCCAAAAAAGGAAAATCAAATTCATTGAGGAGGTAATATATTTAGGATACAATAAAACCAAAAACATTTAAAGCTCAGAAACAATGCCATTGTAAACTCCTGCTAGTAGGTTGATTATTGGGGGAAAACTATTTTCTTTTTTTTTATTTTAACAACTTAATTATGTAATCAAATTAACGATACGTAATGATTTGGGTACAACGATTTTTAATATTTTCGTCTTCTGTTATTATTTTTTTGTGTGAATGCCTTCGATATTTGTACCATGCATGTTTCCTTCATGAATGTATTTATTATATTCTATTGCAACCAAATATTTGAATTAAATATTTATATATATCCAAGTTTATATGTACGAATGTCTTTTAAATATATTATTCATTATAATGCCTTTATTATCTATATATCTTTTATCGCCAACAACATTTATACAACATAGCAGCGTGGACGCGGTGCCGCTCGACTACCGGCTCTTTGACCCGCCACCAAAACAACGCAAACAACAGCAATCATCCAATGGGAAAGCATCATCCCCCAAACATCATCAGCGACAAGCTTCAGACGAATGTGCCAAAAATTCAGCCAACAATACAAATTTGTCCGGCAGTATATCCGGTAAAATTCGATCAAAAACTTCCGATAATAATTCCAACAGCGGAAACAGCCTCGCCGGTGAATTCCAATGTACGTCTAACAGCGTCCCCTCCCCGCATATTGTCCAGTCGGGCTCCTATGTTGAAATTTTAAAGCAAGCCACGAATTCAACACCGCCACAATCCATGCCATCGCACGATCGTCTCCCCACCCATTCCAAGGGTTCCATAACTTCAGCATCGTCGCTGGCTTGCCATAATAAAAGCTATGGCGATTTTCTGACCATTACTCCTCGACGTAAAGGTAAACAACTCTCTGCTGAGCATAAAAATGCCGCAGGAGAAGGACACGACAACTATCGGCATCATTTGCCGCACAGCATAGAACCTCTTCATCTGCTGGGAATTCCAAACGACAATATGTCTACATTCTTTGACTACCGGGCCATGGAAACCCTCAGTAATGCCGATACTTTGGCTATTGGATCCACCATGGCCGGCCACATGTATCCTTCTAAAGGCAGCAAACAATCTATTCAAGGTTCCGGACCACCTTCCACCGATCGGCAGGTGCCGGAAGAATTTCACCACATAATCAGCGAGAAAAACTTGAGCCCTCCATCAGCATTTTGTGATAACATATCATCGTTGAACAAAGCATAAGACTTTGACAAGCTTACCACGACAGACCAGAACTGCAATTAATGACATATCCAAGGATTCTTGAGGTGCATTTAAAAACCAGACAAACAACTCGGAACACAACTACATCGCATATCTTCTAAAAGGTCTGAATTATGTTGTCGCTCAAGTTGAAAGCAACAAAATCAGCAACAAATAACTTGCCAATTTTTTAACTACAAAGACAACGGAAACTAAATTTGCATTTAGATCGTAAGCATAGCATTTACGTACATTCTATAGACATACAAAGTAATCGTAAAGGCGTTTAAAAATGTTTTGGAAGTCAAATAAATTTAAGTAAACATACACACACACATACCTAATAAAAACACTTTGGATAACACATACAAAAATACATAGGCATGTAAAAGAGGACAAGTCGCAACAAGATGTGATCCATGCAAACCATTTAGAATTGGGTAATTTTGACAAATAATACCAACACAATGATTAAAACGAACTAAACCCTTAGTTTGGATAGTATCCAAAATATTCACATTATAACTCAGATTTCCCAATAGTAATTCATCTTCACAATTCTCATTAATTCGGGACGTTTTAATTGTAAATCAATTTGTAATTCCAATTATTACATTTGTAATTCTTATGTCAACTGAATTACAAATAAAATCTATTTCTGACCATATAAATATATTTATTGGCACTATCTCTATTTCAGGTGCAACAAGTCAAGTCAATTTTTTGACATTTTCGATTTATGAAAATTTACCAAATTTACATTTGCTTTCTCGTATTGTATGCTGAAATGCATAACTTCACTACTTTATTTTTATTTTTTGAAAAATCTAATTTTTTTGGATTTTCCCATTTTTAAGCATTAAAATGGTATTAATCAATGTTGAGTTCAACCTATCAAAAAGACATGGTTTGCAAGGATCTGTTTTGGAATTATCGGCAATTAGGTATATAGAAAATTAGTATATTTGCTAAAAACGAAAAATGAAAATCAATACGACGGTAATGACAATCTCTTCGACTGATCAATATTAGCATTGACGTTACCGTTAACTACGATATCATTCAGTATGAACATTGACATTTAATCAAATATTTGTATATACGCACACATACACAAACATTGATAAATATAATAAAAATATACAGAAACACATTTAGATAAGTAGGTAAATATATAGTTGGAGATACAGTGATGTAGATACCGCTCCTGCAATTCTGGTAATGGCGAATCAGTTTCTTGCTATTTAATTCTTTTAAATGTACATTATTTTTACGATAACAAGTAAATATTTTTTAACATTTCCAAATTAGAATATATAAAATGTTTACATTTCTAGCAAAATATTTATTTGTTAATGTAGGTTACACAAGTTAGTAGGTAATATATAGTAAATATTTTTTACATATCAGTCAGGTCATATGCCATTACCGAAATTATTTAAATTTTCAGTCATGCATAAATGTGTGCATGTTTTCAATAAAGCCGATAAAATGGCGTGGAGTAATAATTTAGTCACTGTATCGAATCCGGTGTTATTAGGTATGACAACAATATTAATATGGATATAATTATTACGTTATTTGTTTGCAAGTTAATGACTAGTTCATAGTTCATTCGTACATACATATTTATACTTTCTATTAATTATTAAGATTTAGCCCTTAAAACGTACTGTAATTCGAACGAAATTGAATTGAAACATGTGTCAATAATTAAACCTTAACCTATTCCAAATTTACACGTAAGGTTCTCGATATCAATTCTCCACGAAGTGTCAATTTTTCGATGCCAATTTATACGTTTGTCAATAGGCCAACCTGCCTGCTCTATTACAACACAAAACAATTATTTTGTCAGACCTTGATAGACTAACATCATCCAGAGGTCGGAAGAATCATTTGTCAGATTAAAAAAAAAACAAGAATAATACAATATATAGTTGTGAAAGAACTCCCTCTAAAAGTTAAGTACACAAGCAAATCATAAATATGACTTTTATTTATCAATGAAATATAAAAAGAAATAAAAAACATAATAGATTTAAATGTATTTAACCACTTATGTATTTGTATGTCCAAAAATAAAAAAATAATACAAAAAAAAAAAAAAACAAAGTAAATAAATCTGAAATTGAATAAATGAAACATAAAGTAGTGTATTATTGCATTTTGAAATGAGAGTTTCATTTGTACCCTACCCTATCTGACTACTTGTTCTGCCTGCTGTGAAAGTTTGAAGGAGTAAATGTTTCTTCTAAGGTTTCTTTTGGTTTCTTCATAGAATAATTTCCGATTTCTATCATTTTCACATTGACGCCTCCGAACCATAGTAGCTTTCAAAGTATGAAGTTTCTTTAATTGTATGTGCCATGCTAAGTACATTTTTATACCCTTCACCACACTGTGGTACAGGGTATTATGTCTTTGTGCATATGTTTGTAACAGGCAAAAGGAAACGAGATAGACACATGGTTCCTTTGAAGAATATGCATAGAATCACTTTCTGAGTCGATTTACGCATGTCCCTCTGTCCGTCCGTCTGTCCGTCCGTCCGTCCATGTATTTTTGTGAACAAAGTACAGGTCGCATTTATAATCCGATTTGAATGAAATTTGGCATATGTCACTTATTTGGCCCAAGGACGAACCCTATTGAAATTGGGAAAAATCGGTTCAGATTTAGATATAGCTCCCATATATATATTCGTCCGATTTAATGTAAAAAGTCCCTATATATCTTCCGAATCTTCCGAAATTTGGGAAATCGTAATGAATTAGGCCCAGAATGATGTGTGCTGAGTTTCATGAAAAATAGGTTCAGATTTAGATATAGCTCCTGTATATAGTTTCGTCCGATTTTATATAAATGGTGCACCAAAGTCCCTATATATCTTTCGATATGTACGAAATTTAGCATAGGGTACTGAAATGGGTCGAGAATGTTATGTGCTAAGTTTCGTGAAAATCAGTTCAGATGTAGTTATATATATATAGCTCCCATATATAGTTTCATTTGGCACGATTTTATATAAATGGTGCATATATAGGTTCCAAAGTAAATGGTCCACCAAAGTATATATATTTCGATTTGCACGAAATTTAGCACAGCGTAATGAATTAGGCCTAAAATGATGTGTGCTGAGTTTCATGAAAATCGGTTCAGATTTAGATATAGCTCCCATATATAGGTTCGCCCGATTCAATGTAAATGGTCCACCAAAGTCCCTATATATTTTTCTATTTGCACGAAATTTAGCGTATCGTATTCCATTAACTCTAGAATGATGTGTGCTAAGTTTCGGGAAAATCGGTTCAGATTTAGATATAGCTCCCATATATATCTTCGTCCGATTTAAGGTAAATTGTGTACCAAAGTTCCTATATATCTTTCGATTTGCACGAAATTTGGCACAGTGTACTAAATTAGGTCTAGAATGATGTGTGTTAAGTTTCCGGAAAATCGGTCCAGATTTAGACATAGATCCCATATATATATATATATATGTATATATATCCGTCCGATTTAATGTAAATGATGTACCCAAGTCTCTATATATATTTCGATTTGCACGAAATTTGGTACAGCGAACTGAATTAGGTCTAGAATGAAAATCGGTCCAGAGTTAGATATAGATCCCATATATATTTTTGTCCTATTTAATGTAAATGGTGCACCAAAATCCCTATATATCTTTCGATTTGCATGAAATTTAGCACGGCGTAATGAATA